ATTTTTGTAACAGTTGTAGATTTTTAAGTTAAAGTAACTCTTATACAAGTTTACAAAGCCAGAAAAAATAATTATCTCAAATATACCATGAAAGCAAAAATAAATTAGTAAGAAAATGTTACTGAACCAATACTCTAAAACTTAAGGGGAGAGACCTTCTTTGGAGTTTATGTGTACATTTATATTAATATATAATTCTACCTACCTTGATTATGGCTTCTCAGCCCCAGTAATGAAAAGGCACTATTAAGAAATGAGACCACAGGACTTGATTATGTTCAAACACCAGCACAAGTGCCATATAACTTTTTGTCTCCTAGCCTTTGAGGGGGTCCAGTATTGCTAGAGCATAATTCAATAGTTTGGTCATAATGATGACTCTGAAGCATCAAGGAAAGGGCATGCTTTGTTTAGTAAAACTTTTTTTTTTTTAGGAGTCATGCCCTGTTGCCCCATGTAGAGTGCAGTGGCATCATTGTAGGTCACTGCAACCTCAAACTCCTAGGCTCAAGTGATCCTCCTGCTTCAGCCTCCCCAGTAGCTGGGACTACAGGCCTGAGCCACGTCACCCCAGCTAATTTTTCTACTTTTAGTAGAGACCAATCTCACTCTTGCTCAGGCTGGTCTCAAACTCCTGAGCTCAAGCAATCTTCCTCCCTCAGCCTACCAGAGGGTTAGAATTCCAGGCATGAGCCACCCTGCCCAGCTGTTTAGTAAAACATTTTGAGTCAGAGAAGCATATGACATTTTAGATTCCCTTACCAAGAGGTAAAAATGGAAAAATTTTAGAATTTACACAAAATTTACCATTGTATCTGTCAGGTCCTGAGCTTTGAGGATTAATAAGATAATAAGACCTCGTTAGATAGGTTTTCTTATTTTATAGAGGAGTAAATTAGGATTGGAAAATTGGGATTAGGAAAACTGTTGATTCAAATTGACGTCCCTTTCATACTAAAACTTTTGTGTTTTCCACTACACTTCAGTTATATCAGGTTATGTCTGTTGCAAACTTACCTCTTTATGAAGCCTGAAGGCAGCTCAGGGCCTTTCAATGTTGTTGTTAATGCTAGTGATGTTCTGATAAAAGGTTTTAACTAGATATGCCAATATTGAATAATTGGGATAGAGAATGAAAACTCCATTAAGTTAATTTTATTCCATGATCAACATTATCACTCAGTCGGGGATTGCTCCAGTTTTCTTCCATTTTCATTTTGTTTTTACTGAAATTTTAAAATATTCCATTTAAATAGTTTTAACCAGGTCATGTTTTATTATAGCTTCTGCCTTCTGAATTGTCTTAGGTTGCTATTATTTCTACCATATCTAATTCTCCTGTGTCAAATTTTACAGATCTAAATTTCATCTAAGATTTTTGACAGTAACAAATTTTGTGTGTTGTTTTAGCCATTGTCAGTTTTCTCTTCGTGATAGTTCTACCAGCAATATATTTAATGCATTAAGGTTAATACATTATAATTTCAACAGAAGACATATTTATTTACAAGTGTAGACAGTTTTGTCAGCATGAATAAAACATCCAGCTTTGTTGTCTATTACCTCTCCCTTGCTACTTTTACCATCAATCCCTAAGAGAAAAGTGCCCCTAAGGTCGCACACAATTTTTTCTTTCCTCATAAAATGCAAATCACAGCATATTATAGTGGGATGATTCTTCACCACAAAAGGATGAGGAACTTAAGGGCAGGACTTTGATCGATCCCCAGTACTTTGTGCAGGCCCTAGCATACACTAGCAGCTTCAGAGAGGCCAAAAATCACAAGTATAGATAAACTACTTCCTTTAAGATGCCGCGCAAACAAAATGCTACAAAAACACTGAAAGATTGTCCCAAAAGTGTACTCTTGGATACACTTGTATAAAGTTCGCCCCTCTTTGCTCATAAAATATCAACTTGTGCTGAAAGGAATCACGAGTGATGCTTATAATCCTGACCTTGTCATTACATGGGGGTAGTTTTGGTTTCGGTCTCTTACCCTTTCTAGAAGCATCTGCCTTGTTTAGTGATAGGTAACAATTCATGTACCAAATGATCTGCGACACCACAGCGAACAAGGGACGGGGGCTTAAAGTTATTAGCAGGGAGCCAGGACCTCGCCCGTGGCAAAGGGAGGCGCGGAACAAAACAAGCTCACAGGCAGCAGTCACCTTCCTGCTAGAGAGAAGGGCAGGCTAAGAGAGGCCTGGACTGAGGAAGCCACGCAGCGCAGGTCCGGACAAAGCCCTCGCGGCTTCCACGCGTCGCCACGGCAACGCGGAGTTTGGGCCAGCCCGGATTGGCCAAGCTCGGCGCGCGGGGTCTGCTGGGAGAGCGCGTCCCCGCCGCGGCTCCGCCGGTTTGAACTTGGCGGGCCAGATGTGGGCGCCCGGTCAGTGGGGGGCTGCTCCCTCTCCCTACACCCGGTTCTGTGTCGACTGCAGACCCAGGTCTCGGCCCTCTTCGGGCTCCTTCTCCGTCCTCGTGATGGGCTCCCGGGGGCAAGGGCAGGAGCTGGTGTGCTCGCCGCCGTCGCCGCCACCGCTCAGCTGCAGCAATTCCACCATGTCATTGTTGTCTCCCCTCGGCCACCAGAGCTTCCCGTTTGACGAGGACGATGGTGGCGGGGAGGATGGGGAAGACGTGGACGAAGATGCCTGTGACTCAGAGGTCAAGGTGGCAAGCCTGAGAAGAATGGAGTTACAGGGGTGCGCCAGGTAAATCGAGGCCGCCGGGCCGATACAGCCCTTTTCAACATTTCTTACTTCTAAGGACCTTCTTTTGCCCGCCACTCCCCTGTCTTCCGTCTCAAAGCCTGCGCAGACACCTGCATCCCAAGGCGCCTTTTTTTTGCACATAAAGAGTTTGGGCAAATTCTTACAAATGGCAGCAGTTTTTCTATGACTCTTAATCTTTTTCTTGAGATGTGATGGTTGCTACAATCTCACTTCCCAGGAAAACTCACATAGTCCC